CACCAGAGCCGAGACCCCCTTGGAGCTCAGCCCCTCCCGGAGCGTCCACCGGGACCCCCAGCTCGCACTCACCAGCGCACCAGCTCCCAGCGCCGCTCCCCCGCCGCCTTGCCCGAGGCCATGCCGCGGAACGGGGAGCCCCGCCGCAGGGCCCCGCTCCCGCAGCGCGGTCCGGTCCCAGTTCCGGTCCCGGTCCCGCCGCGCCGGCTCCTGCTCGCTGCCACCGCCTCCTTCGGCACGGGGGGGACCCGGGTAGGGCCGGGGGGGGGGGGTCACACCGCCGTGCCCCGTTACGTAAACCTTACACAACGCCCGCCCCCCGGGGCAGCCCCGGTGATCCGCGCCGTGCCGGGCGGCGCGCTCCGCTCCCGGCCCGCAGCCCCCGCCTCTCCCCCCGTTTGACAACGGAGCCTGAGCCGAGCGGCACGAAGCGCCCGGGTCGGTCACCGGTGGAACGGAGCCCAGAGACGGGGTCCTGAGCCCCGCAGCACCACAGCAGGGCAGGCTCCCGGGCTGCAGCCGCCCCTTGGACCCTGGCTCACCCTTAGGAACCCACAAACGACCCAGCAGAGCTCCCCTGCAAAAGGTCCAGGAACGCTGAACAGACAGTATTCTCCACAGATTGAAAGCTAAAACCTGCTGTCTGCCTAAGTGGGGGTCCCTTCCCGAGCCCCCCAGAGCACGCACGGTTACAGGATGCCCATGGTGCTCAGGAAGCAGCCCAAGAGCATGCTGAGATGCTATTTCAAGGAGCTTCCAAGCCCAGTAAAAGCTGCTTCTCAGAACCAATGCTCTGGCTCCAAATCCTGGCTATTCCAACCCCTGAAGACTTAACTTCACAACCCAGCAAACCCAAACAGACCACCCACAATCCATTTAAATCAAATTTTAAACCAACACACCTGAAAGTCATTGGTGCTTCTATCCCATCTGCCCCTTGTCAGGAGCAAAGGGCAGCTTTGCTGTGTCAGCTGGAGAGACTGGTGGGAATGATGGAGCTGCTCCCTGTAGGGCAGAGCTGGGGCCAGTCCCCCACTGATCCCTCACAGCTCAGGGTGCTCCCACTGTCAGCATTGCTGCCAGAGGTCCCAGGCAGGGAAGCAGCAACAGGAACATGAGCCCATAGGAGGGATGCAGGGGAGGCCGAAGCTCTGCCTCTCACCCCTGGAGCCTGGGCACCCCCAGCACACCATGTATTGCACACCCTAGAGAGTTAGAAACAAAACCAACCTTTATTTTCCTTTTTAAAAGGAGAAAGTTCTACAACAGTGAGGGAGTTAACGAACAGAGGCATCCGTGTGGCACAAACACGCTGGTGCATCCAGCATCTTTCATGTCCCCCTTTGCTCCTCTGGGCTGATCCCAGCTGCGCATCCCCAGAGCCAGGACAGCTTTGTCCTGTTATTTCCCAGCCCTTTGCCCTGGGTGGGCATCATGGGCCCCTTCCCCAGCATCCCCCAGCCCTCCCAGCCAGGCAGGCAGAGGAACAGTGCCTCGGAGAGGCACCAATTGCATTACTTGGCTTTTGAAATCCCGGTGGAAGTGTTAAGCTAATGTTAAATTTATCAAAACCCTTTAGCTTTTAGCCTTGCATCACTTTAAGGAGCTTCTTATTAGGTTCTTCAAAGCAATAAGAAGACACACACACACACACTGTGCTTCAACTAGGGTGAAAAACAGTATTTGAGGCACAGTTAAACTAATTTCTAAGTTAAATGCAACAATTCCCCTAATAATTAAGTCGGGGGTGGAGGGGGAAGCCGTGGTCTAAAAGCACTCAGATAGCTCACAAGAAGAGCATGGGATGCAGGTTTAACTTCCATGTACACTGGGATGCTCGCTCCCTTTGGGAAGCAGCTGTTTTATCCTGGGACCAGCCTCTGACGTGAGCTGGCCTGTCCTAACAGGAGGTGTTTAACCATGGCAGAGCTGCAGGCAGAGCCTCACGGCCTCCAGTTCCTGCAGCCAGAGGAAAGAGGCGTGGATGCACGGCCAGGAGCTGCAAGCGCAGTGGGAGATGACCGCGGCTCTTACGTGCCCTGCCTGGACGAGCACCTCAGCTAAGACGGGATCAAACCCGACCTCGGTGTCACAGAGGGGCCCCGAGCAAGGCCCTGGTGCAGAGCTCATCTCCCCCCTCTGCAGGGCGGCAGGGCCGGGGCTCAGCGCGCTGATGGGGTGCCCAGCTCCGGGCTGCAGCCTGACAGGGCCGGGCTCACCCTCATCGCACCCACCCGTACCCTCATCGCACCCACCCGCATCACCGCGCCCCGGCTCTGGCGCTGTGCGAGCCGCTAGAGGTCAGTGCCGGTACGGAGCTGCAGGCAGAGCTGCCTGCGCCCAGCCCTGCACGGCAGAGCTGCTGCCGCTGCCTGCAGCTCCTCTCTGCAGCTCCTCTCCTCTGCAGCTCCTCTCCGCAGCTCTGCAGTCGCCTCCTTCCTCTCTCCATGGCAGCAAACCCTGGGGCTGCAGAGCTCAGATGGGTTTCTGCTGGCCCCTGAACCCCGCTGCTGTCACCCCACCACTGTCACACCACTGCTGCCACCCTGCCTGCACCCAAGGGGTCACAGCGAGCAGAGCCTCCTTCAGGATGCACTGCAGTTGGATGTCTCCCAACAATCCGCCATTGGAATCATCTCCCCAGGGAAGTGGTGGACTTCCCAACATGGGACACTGTTAAGATTCAGCTGGGCAGGTGCTGGGACATTTAGTCTAGGTCATGCTTTGCCTAGAAAGGCTGGATAAGATGATCCTTGAGGTCCCTTCCAACCCAATATCCTATGGTTCTATGTGGTACAACAGGCAAGGAGCAGGCTAGCTCTGCCTGACAGCCTCCAGAGCTCCATCACCATGTGGGCTGGCAGCAGGGACCCCACAACTCCTTTTAAGGCTGAAATGGCATTCCTGACATTTTTGTCCTACCGTTGATCACAAACAACCTCAGACCCATCAGATTGAGATGGAAAACCCAAGAGCAGCTCTCTGTGAGCAAAAGCCATTGGTGAAGCCAGCTCACAGTGGAACGGTGAGAGAAAGCAGGAGAGGTGATGGTAAATGTTAACAGCAAGTGCACGCTGTGGCTGAATCCAAGCTGCCAACTGCTGCAGAGGCAGCCGGCCTCACCCCGTGCCATGCAGGGTGCAGAGGATGTGCTGTGCCCGCTGCCTCCCGCTGCTGCATCCTGGGGCCATGGCCTCATTTCCAGCAGCAGCTCCTGTCCCCAAATGCCTGACCTTGGTTGTGTGCAGGCTTGCCTGTTGTGCAGTGGAAAATCGATGAAAGTTGTACAAACCTGGTGAAACAGGATGCACTGAGAGCTTCCCCTTCATCTCCCCCCACCTCCCCAGCTGTAAATCACTGCTGCTCCGGTTAGCACACAAGTCAGGAGAAGACACAGTGGGACATTAAAAACAGCCCCCCAAACATCACAAGCTACACCAAGAGGGACAGACACATCATGGCGAGCATTTACCTAATGGTTACAGATGGGTGAGAGGTTCCCCTAATGAAACAGCACTTCTCTGAGTGATAAAGTCTGCACTCTCCTCCTTCACACATAAATACTTCACTCTCAACAACCTGGGGCCCACACAGGTGTCAGTGTGATAGGAAGAGCGTTAGGGAAGCACTGAAGCTCTCACTGTGCTGGTTGAGCTTTCAGCAGAGATGTCTGAATAATTCATTGCAAATCCAAAGCTTGTTTGTGCATGTGAAGACCATCACACCTCATGGTCACCTCCTCTCCTGATCTAATGAGTTCTCTTTTAGCATGACCTAAACTTACACTCTGTGCAAGAGCCCAGCCCTGCTCTGCCGTCAGCACCACACCAGGCTGTGCCACACCACTTGGGTGCCAGGCGAGGAGCCAGCCTGTGGCTGTTACAGCTCAGGGATGTGATGAACCCACCATACGGCACCCACTGTGAGTTCCTGTCTGCCTGCCCTCGCAGGGATGAGGCAGGGCTCTTCCCCACCACACAGCCTCAGTCACTTTGTGCAGCACAGGCACGCAGACAGAGGTTTGAACCATCTGAGCAGAGGAAAGGATGTGGGATGACAAAATGATTCCACAATCCCCTATGGGCTGCCCTACAGGACATCCACATGCTGCTTGTGTGCTGAAAGCTGATACACACAGAACAGCAGCAGGTATAATGTGAGGATGGCAGCACAACCCAGCTGAGCACCATTCCAGGAACACTGCGCTCCCTGGAGCAGTTTTGGTTAAGGGAAGGGGAATCATCAGACTGTCAGCTGACAGGGAGGACGCTACCATCTCCCTGTGCCTGCACTGCCGTGAGCATGGAACAGGCCGCTGCATCTGCGCTTCCCTGCTGTGCAAGAGGTGCAATGAATTGAGTCATCTGTGGAAGCAGAGCCCCAGCTGCTCTGGGTACCGGAGACAAAGGGGCACGGGGAACCAGTAATCACATGAGAACCCCCCCGCTCCTCACCCCCTTTGAGTGTAGCTCCTGGGGAGCTCTGCTCGTCCCGCCGGTTCCCTCACCGTGCCCCGTTTGAATCGCATCCCCCGAGCCGCGGTACCCGCCGGGATGTCCTGGATCCCCGGGCCGGGCCCCGCTCTGCTCCGGGCAGGGCAGGAGGCGGCTGCGGAGGCCGCCTTCAGCACCGCGGACAGCGGAGGGGACCCGCAGAGCCCCGACCGGTGCCGGGGGGGCCACCCGGGGGAGCACCGGAGGGGATGACCGGGGATGGAGACACTGGGAGGAGGATGAACCAGGGGGGATGAGCCGGGGGAGATGAACCGAGGGGATGAACCGGGGGGGATGAATCGGGGAGGAAGAGCCGGGGGGGGACGATCCGGCCCCTGTTCCCCGGCCCCCGCCGCGCCCCGCAGGCTCCGGTCCCCGCACGGCTCCCGCCCGCCCGCGCCTCTCCCCGGCGGAGCTCCCCAGTTCCGGTCACGTTGCCGCCTGTTTACGGCGCGGCTGCCGGCGGGCGGCGGGGCCGGGCCGGGCCGGGCGAGGCGGGGCCGCCGCAGGCAGCGCGGGCAGCTCGGGAGCCCGGCGCGGCCCCGGCCCCGGCCCCGGCCCCGGCGCCGCCGCCGCGTTCGCCGCATGACGCCCAGCGGGCACCCCCCGGGGCCCCGCCGCTCCCCCCAGGTAAGGGCCCGGGGCAGGGCGCGGGGCTGCTGCGGGGCCGGCGGGGAGGGCTCGGTGGCGGCGGCGCTGTCCCGCCCGCGGTGCCCCGGCGCCTCCCGTGCCCGCCCTGGGGCTGCGTCCCCCGCCCGCACCCAGCGGCCGCTCGCTGTGCCCGGCCCGGCGGGGGCTGCCCGCCCGTTCCGTTCCGCTCCGCTCCGCGCCGCTGGGTGCGGGCAGAAGGGCTCAGCCGGGCACCGGGAGGCGCCGCTCCCGGATCCCGCAAGCGCGGGGCGGCTCCGCCCGCCTCGGGGGTGATGGATGCGGAGCTGCCGGGCCCGGTCCTGCTCCTGAGGCAGAGCTGAGCCCGTTGCTCATCCCCGGGGCGGCGGGAGAAGGCACCCGCAGCCGGATGAGAAGCTCCAGCTTCGGCTGTTGGCAGGCAGCTGTGCTCAGAGAATTGTGAGAAAACGCAGTAATTTATGATCAGCGTTTGCACTGATTTCGTCTTTAAATAGATACTGATAGATAATGAATAGCAAATAGAACTCCGAGTGTAATTCCGCCTCTGCTGAGATCAGGGAAGGTTTCCCACTGACTTTCCCAAGGCCAGGATTTCACCTCTAGTTTCTATTCCGGGCATTGCCACTACCTCTGTGACCTTCTGCGAGTTTCTTAGCTTCCTGCTGCCTTATTTCCTTCCCTTTAAAGGCGCACTTGCTCCGTGGCGTTGTTGCAAAGTTTGTGTTTGTGTTCTCTGAGATCGTATATTCTGAGCAGTATGGATTTCTAATGGGCATCGGTGTTTATCCCTGTGCATGTTTTAATGCGATGGAGGGGGGGTGCTGGCAACCATAGCAGGATAAATTATTGACCTGTTCCTGCAAAGCTTGTTTGTGCCCCCTGGCTCCCAGTTAATTTGCTGTTTATGGGGGAAAATGAGTACATGGGTGAGGGCTGGGTCCTGGCGTGACGATGTTTGTGCTGGGTTTTGTGTACAGGCTGCATCTGCCTTTCGAATGCATCATCAGGAACTGAGGGGTTTTAATCTGGATCAGAATTGTGGGATTCTGATGGGCATTAAACAACAGCTTTGGACTTCGGTATGGTTTTGCCCTGAAAGCAAATACTCACACAATCTGCCTGTGCAAGGGCGATCAGCTCTTTGCAGACTTGCAGCTGAACCGGTGGTTGTAGCTATTTCAGGAGGCTGCTCCAGTCCTTTTAGTCTGTGAAACACGAGTTCTCACAATCAGATAGGCACTGTGCTGTGGCTCTTGTGTCTCTAACACAAGCTGAAGGTTCCTGTCTTGCTTTGGCACATAGAAATAGGGTCATCAGCACTTGCTGGGTGCCTTGAAGCCCTCGACATGGGGAGCTTTGGCTCGATGAGCTGGGAGACACCGTGGCCCTGTACAGCATTAAATCAGTCAGCAGCTAATCCCTATTAACTCCCAACACCTCCCAAGTGGTTGCGCTGTGTGAGGTGACCATGGGCACGCACCAGACTAAAGGCTCAAACTGCTGCTGCAATCTCCAGTTGACTTGGGAAGCACTGGAGAAAGAGATCAGAAGAGTTTGGCTCTGAAACCCCAACCCCTTGGGATAAGGGCTGGACACAGCCTCTGCTGCTGCCTCTGGCAGTGTTAGAGACCCCCAGACAGCAACAGATGCTGATGAAACCTCAGGACCAAATTACAGCTCCGTTAACAGCTCTCGGCTCTTGCATCACAACCTGTGTGTGGCACAGAGCAGTCTAATGGCCACGATGTGGAACAGTTCATTCCTCCCTTCACCTGTGGGCTGCAGGTGGTGAAGCAGCAGCAGCCTCTGGTCACCATATGTAGCCCCCAAGCCTGTTGGAAGGGGCACAGGAGCCCCAGGACAGATCCGGAACTCCCCATCGCTGCTTTCCACATGTCCAGTGCTGTCCCCCATTGCCTGGGAAGGCAGCTCCTGCCCTCCCTCCATGTCCTGCTGCTGGCAGGAGCTTCCATGCAGGCAAAGCGAGGAGCCCTCCCCTGCTGTGACAGCTCTGACGTTCCTCCTGCTGCAAGCTGAGACCTGTTTCTTGAGGGAAGCAGTGGAAGGCACAGGACCGGCAAAGCTGCTCCGAACCCGCTAAGGATTTCCTATGGCAGTTTTGGAAACAGACTCCCCCTCTCCCCACACACAGGTAAATTATGCAGGCTTTTCATCTTCCACAGCAGGGACAGCAAACGCATCCCGGTCCCAGATGTTGTTCCTCTGACTTCCTTTACAGGTTGATATTTATCAATGTTTTCTTTTTCAAGAAAAACATGTTCATTGGTAAAAAGGGTCATTTCCTACTTAAAGGCAGGAGGCAAAGTTCAATGGAAAATTTGCAGCCATTTCTACTAAAGCCATTTCCACCAGACAGAACAAAGTGCTTGAAAATAGCACTGCGTGTCCCTGGGGCTTCGTCCAACCTACTTTCTTGTGCCTCCCAAGACGAGGTGCCACAACTCCCACCATGAAGCTGCTCCAGAGCCCAGCACATGGCTCTTCCACAGCCCCGCAGGGTGGCAGAGGGTGTGTGCTGTAGCATGGTTTGTGTTCCCAGCTCCAGGGAACTTCCATCACTTCCAGCACCCCCTCGCACCTTAGCGAACCCCCATCATTGCCATGTCTCCTGTCTGTTAATTACAACTCCTTGTCAGGAAAGGCTGCGGGACTTAAAGGCTTCAGATTCATCAGCTTGCCACTCAGAAGGAAAGGGATGATTGGGAAGTTAAGTCTAGAGATGGATTCTTTCCCCCCCCCCCCAGGTTCCATTCTAAAAAGCCCAGCACAGAAGGGCTGCAGATCCCTGCCCAGAGCACCCAAGCACATTCCCCCAGGCAGGGCTATGCAGGCTGGGTCGGGGCTGTTTTCACTTCCATGAGGTTCCACAGGGAGGCTTTAAGCCAGTATAAATCTTACCTCATGCAATAATCGCCTTGATTGAGAAGCAGGACCTTTGTATCTGCTGCTTTTAGGTATCACACCAGCCTTTCCCACGCTTACCCATCATGTCCATGGAGTGAATGTGTGGAATGTTTCATTCCTGAGCAGCAGAGCCATCCCAGGGCTGAAAATGTCATTATTTTGCCTCCAGAAATAAGCAGGAACATGAAGACCTGGGTTTAAGGTCAGCACAGGTTGGATGGGCTTTGGCAGGGACATGAAGACCTGGGTTTGAGGTTAGCACAGAATGGGCTTTGGCAGGAACACGGGGCGCTGCCAAGACCCCTTTCTGTGGAATGGATTTTAAGTGCAGCTTGATTCGATTTGGTGGCAGAAGCTGCCTCCTAATGCAGCGCATGGTGGTGCTGGGGGAGCAGAGCTCGAGCTAAAGCGCTCCTTCGCTCTGAAATTCCTATCGAAAGGAAACTGAGGTCAGATGCGCGTGAAGGAGGGGATGGAGCAGCTTCCCAGGGACAGGACAGTGCCACATCTCCCCATGGAACTGTTTAGCTTAGAAAAGGCCTTTAAGATCCGCAGGTCCAACCACTAACCCGGCACTGCCAGGTTCTCCGTTTGCTGTAGCTTCTCCTCCTGCTGGGCTGGCTGTGGGCAGTGAGGATGGATTCCACATCCACACAGAATGGTGTTTCCCAGGATTAAGGGTCCTTTGGAGGGGTATTTTTCCCTCCCTGGTGCAGCAGCTCAGGTAGGCAGCTCCTGTAGCCATCAACATGTGGTGATGGACCCCGGCAACACAGGAAGACAGCACATCTCCTGCCAGTGCTCCAGTCAGAGCGAGCATTCTGTGCTTTCCATGGGTAGATCTGTGCAGCTACTGCTGTGTAATATGTGACTTGTCAAGTGAGAGCCAGCATCGCCCCTGGTGCAGCTTCCAGCTGGGAACGGTGGGGAGCAGCCCTGTCCCAGTGCAATCAGTGAAGGAGCATTTCCTAAGGCCAAAGTTAACACAGAAACGAGCCATTCCGATGGCAGGGTCCATGCAGCAGCACCTCCTTGTGCAGCTTCTGAGCCCCCAGCCCGGGTATAGGCAGGCTGGAGCTGGGGCAGGCTGCGGGCCATTCCCAGGGGATCTGCTGAGCAGAGCTTCCTCACCCACAGCCACATCCCTGTGGAAAGGGTAGAGCAGCATCACCCTGTGGGCTCTGGCCCTGGCAAGGGCTCTGGGGATGGGGCTTGCATCCTGCGTGCTGCTGATCACAAGCCCCCTCCGCTCCCCACAGGCCTGGACAGCGAATCTGGTTGCGATGGAGACCGTGTCCCTGGAGCACCAGATCCAGAGCGTGCACCGGCACATCGCCTTCCTGAAGAAGGAGCAGATGGAGCTGCTCCATGCCCTGCACCTGGAGATCCTCCGCTTGCAGAAGCACTGCTCAGGTGAGCACTGGGGTGCTTGCTGCATGCACACGGAGCACATTGGGTGGGGAAGCTCCTGGGGCTGGTCCGCACCGGATGAGCCCCAAGCCCCCAGGAAGCACGGCCCCAAGGCTGCTGAGGGGCTCAGGGACCGCCGCAGGTGTGGGGTGCACAGCAGGAAGCCCCCAGCACAGCCCCACTGCAGCAGTGCCACCTCCTCCCCTCACAGCCTCCAGCCCCCCACTGAAACTCATCCCAACTCGTGCCGTCGCCCACATCAATAATTCAGCCGTAGCTAATTGCTCCTTGTCTTCCAGCCTCTCACCCTCCTGATTCCTGGGAAACGAAGGAGTATCTGCAGTGATACAATTGTCTGGTTTTCCCCATCCTTTCCAAGCTTTTGCTGTTCTGTTTCACTGTTTTAATGGCTTCACCCATGGTGTGTCCATACAGGAGCAACAGCAGAGGTTTTGTACTTAAATCAGTGCAGGGGGTTCTGAGTTCCCAGAGGCAGAACTGAGCCTGTGCAGGGTGGGTTGTCAGTGACCTCCTCTTCCTACTGTGACCAGACGGCAGCAGTGTGTGAGCAGGCAGGGCTCACACCCTGCTCTGAGGTGTGTGGCTCCGCAAGGCCCTTCCTCCCAGGGCGATGGGGCAAAGCCCTGCTCAGTTGTAAGGTGAGGTTTGAAGGCTGATGCCCAGTGGGGCTGTTTGCAGGGGGAGCCCCGGTGGGTAAGCCAGCACTGCCCATGCTGTGCCCTGTGCTGATGCTTCAGACCTCACACACCAGCACCATCCCCTGGGAGGGCCCCCCCCCACACCAACAGAGCTGTGCCCCAGCTGCCACCTCCTCATCCTAAGGAGCTCCATGAGGCTCCCAGCAGCCCCCATGGCTCCAGTGCAGAAGCCAGGACTGGGGTTGTGCACTCGCCCCGCAGGGCCACGTCTGCTTTGGGAACGGGCAACTCCTTTAGTTGTCATTTGAAATGTATCCAAGACTCCAAACCTATTATTGTAGCTTCAGAAGAGCACCAGAGTCCCATTGATTTCCAATGGGCAGTCGGGAGTGCTGAAAGCTTTCCAGAAACTGCATTACGTGCCGGGTTACTTCGGCTTCCCACTCCAGGTTTGTTTTCCAGGGCAGACGGGCAGAGCAGCCTGAGCCAAGCGCTCCGGTTCAGAAGGGTGGCAGTGATGAGGATTACACTCAACATGAAAGCAGATTAAAAGAAAAATGTAGGGCAAAGATTAACCATTTGAGCTCATTTTCAGGGGAAAAAAAAGCCTCAAAACAAGTGAATGCTGCTGCTGCCTCGCTCCTCCTGCTCTGGGAGCAGCTGGTGCTTGGGTGGGCTGGGACAGTTCATTCATGGGCTGTCTGTAATGGAGTGAAGTGAGCTCCAGAAAGCCCTGAGCTCCCTTTTGAGCTGGTTTTGTAGCCCAGGAGCAGGCAGGAAGCAGGCAGGGGCTGCGATGGGCTCATCCCTGCAGGATGCTGCTGCTGCTGGGTGCAGTGTGGGCACGGGGCAGCTCTGCCTGCAGCTGCCTGCAGCTGAACCCCAGACCCTGCCATTCCCAGTGGCCAGCCCAGGGGGGATGTGGAAGCCGCACGGTGCCTGAGGAGCAGGGCAGCATCCTCCTGCAGGCACACGGTGTGGGCCGAGGCCTTCCCACCTGTGTCACGTGCAGAGACAGGGATCAGCCTGGAAGCAGTAACTCATGGAACGCTTTGGGTGCAGCAGCTCACACTTGGGTCTATTTTCAGCCGGCTGCTCTGCTCTTTGTCCTGGTTTAAAGCACCAAAAATGGCTCAGCAACTCTTGGTAAAGCCAAAGGCATTGCTGGAGTAACGTGGGGCAGGACCTGCGCACACTGCCGCGGCCACGGTGCAGGGGCTGCTGCCAGATCCCAGGGCTGCCTAATACATATAAATGGCTGGAATCCCCTGTTCAGGCTGTGGCTGGTGCTCTGGGACAGCCATGCTCACGCCAAGGGCTGGACAGAGGCAGTGCCACCACCGCAGGGACCGCGGCGAGCACATGGGACGGGTGGGAGGGATGCTCCCTCTCAGGCCTGTGTGGTTTCTCTTGCAGAGCTCACTCATGACCTGGAACTGAAAGAGCTGGAAGCCCGGCAGCAAGGTAAGAGCACTGCAGAGATAAGATAAGGGGAGCAGCGGCTGGAGGGGGCCCCTCGGGCTGCCCAGGGAGGGGACATGGACCTTGTCTGTAGGGATCAGAGCGGCTGAGGGCAGGGCTGGGATGTCAGTGTGCGCATTCACAGCCTGTTGGCAGCCCCCTTCGAGTCCTGGAAGCCACCTGTGAGGTTTTGCATGTGAAAGCCAGCATCCCTAAAGCCCTGACACAGATCCCTGGGGTGGGACTCCAAGCCTGCAAACCCTCCACCGCAGGGAAACACCAACAAGGACATTACCAGCCCCACCTCCAGCTCCGCTATTCATAGCTGGCATTCCAGGTGCTGATTCAGGAGGCCTCCTGGTTCATGAAACACTCCCTTTTGTCTGCAAAATTATCTTTCACGTTCCAAAATAATGGCTGGCAAAGGATGCTCTGTGAGCAGCTCGGCTCCTCCTCTTCCTTCTCCATCCCAGGGATGAACCTGACCTCGGGCAGTGCTGTGCTGGCTGCAGGGGTTTGGTGCTCCCAGCCCTGGGACATGCAGCAGGCAGCGTGTCACAGACCATGATGTGCGAGTCTCCCCCACAGGTCTCTGCCCATCCTTCAGCCTTTTAACAGCTTACAGAGAGTATGGTCAGATTTGCCACATTTATGGGGCAACCACCTAGTTTAAGATGCTATCAAATGATTGCTCTTCAAGTGCCACTCATGCAATAATTACCTCGTGCAAGTGCCTCCCTTAAGTTCTCATTATAAAGCATTTTTACTCTGCAGAAGACATTTAGGAGCTGAGGCTATAAAGCAGTTGCAAATCACATCGTAAAAAGCAGAGATTACTGCAGACAATGGGAGCAGGCCTGGGCAGGCGTGGGGAGCGCAGGCGGGTGCCAGCCTCACTCCTCTTCCTCACCACACCAAGGGCTGGGTGCAGCAGCTCAAGGGCAGGGCTGCCAGGGGCACCGGGGCTGTCTGTGCCCCCATGCCCGTGTGTGTGACATGAATTGCTGTGGGTGCAGTGCTTCCCTCCATCCCGCACCCCCTCCAGCCTTGCAAGGGCTTTAGGCAGAAAGGATTAGGGAAAATGCAAGGCTCTGGTATTCAAATTCCTTTGCAGGTGTTTACTCAGTGCAGTCCCTCTTGATGTCACCATGGCGGGTGGGATGGAGGAAGGATGGATGGATGGGTGGATGGATGGATGGATGGATGGGTGGGTGGGTGGATGGATGGATGGATGGATGGATGGATGGGTGGGTGGATGGATGGATGGATGGAGACCTCATAGCAGCCTTCCAATATCTAAAGGAGGCCTACAGGGATACCAGAGAGGGTTTAAACTTAAACAGTTCAGGTTAGATCTAAGGCACAAGTTCTTCCCTGTGAGGGTGCTGAGGCGCTGGCACAGGGTGCCCAGAGAAGCTGTGGCTGCCCCATCCCTGGCAGTGCTCAAGGCCAGGTTGGACACAGGGGCTTGGAGCAAGCTGCTCCAGTGGAAGGGGTCCCTGCCCATAGCAGGGACTGAGCTGGATGAGTTTTAAGGTCCCTTCCAACCCAAACCATTCCATGATCCTGTGTCAGGCTGGAGCAGTGCAGGGTGTGCCGGAGCAACGTGCAGAGCCCCACATGAAGTCATGCTCTGTTGGGTGCCGGCGCCGTGACTCAGAAGGGCCGGGGCAGGGAGGGTGCCTGTCACCCACCGAGGTGTGGGAAGGGCAGGGAGGGCAATGGGAGCCGTGGGGAAGATGCTGCTTGACACAGCACCTCTGCTGTAGCCAATCCTGCCGGAGCCCTATTGCTGGCAGAGGCAGAGGTGACACGAGGTGACACAGCAGGGCAGGGGCTGGCTGCCCGGCCATCCCGCACCAGGGACAGGCTCCCCTGAGCCCAGGATGCAGGTTCCCTCCCTGCCAGCACAGCCGGGCTGCTCTGTAATCCTGCATTAGCATCTCCATCCTCACGTCAGGCTGTGGAGCCTCAGGGCTTGAGGCCCGAGACCCTTCCTAAACTGGGCTGATGGTTTCAGTGCCAGTCGTTCCTTTTCTGTCCCAGCTGTATGCTGCCCTGTGCCCAGTCCCTTAGGGAAACTGCAGCGAGGCAGAGGCGGCAGTTCCACAGCAACAGCATCCTCCACAGACTGCCTTTGCATCTGTGTGTTACACATCGCGCTGTGTCTCCGGGCTGACGGCTCCTGCTTCTGCCGGCGGCGCACGGGAAAGGCAGGGAGCCCGTGCGCACGGGGAGCGTGGGGAGCCCCAGCTCCAGAAAGCACCCGAGCAGCCCCAGCGGCACCGCTGGCCATGCTGGCACGGCCGGCAGCCGCATCCATGTGCCCTCATGGTCCTGGTGGGAGCATGCGGGGGGGGCTGAGCCTGCCCTGACCCCTGCCTGTGCCTTGTCCCCGCAGAGGTGCTGGACCGGGAGCTGGAGGAGAAGTGCCGCGCGATGGAGGCACAGCTGCAGGAGAAGGAGAAGGACAACCTGGAGCTGCGCAAGGAGCTGCAGCACAAGGAGACGCTGGTGGCCGCGCTGCGCTCCAGCCTCCGCAACAAGGAGCGCCGGTTCCTGGAGCAGCTGAAGCGGCGGAGCCACCGCGTCACCATCCTCGACACGGAGCTGCAGAAGCAGACGGAGGCGGCCGCGTACCTCTCGCTGCAGCTCCACGCCACGGCGCAGCGGCTGCCGGCGCCCCGCGCCCCGCAGCAGCCCCCCGACACCGCCCCGGCCGACGGCAGGCCCCGGCGCCGCGGCCACAGGGCTCAGCCCCGCCGCCCGCCCGGTGACGGTGCCCGTTCCAGGGACCCCCCGCCCGAGGAGCACGACGCCATGCCCGACCCGGCGCTCTTCCTGTACTCGGCGCGGCCGCAGCGCCCGCAGCCCTCCGCGCCCCCCCGCACACAGCGGCCGCCCCGGCCCCCCGCGCAGGAGCCCGTGGCCAGGGCCAGGTCGGGCAAGGGGGATCCCGGCAAGAGGCAGGGGCCCGGCCCCCGCGGCTCCCCCGGCACCAAGGAGTAGAGGCCGAGCGGCCGGCATGGCCTGAGCCCTGCGGCACCGGGGTGGGCACCGGCCACGCTGCGTCCCCCCCCGTCCCCTCGAGGGGAAGGGGCAGCGGAAGGCGGGTGCCTTGCTCGCAGCTCCTGATGCAGGCAGCCAGGAGGATCCCCCTTGCACAAAGGGTCTGAGCACTGCAGGACAGTGGGCAACAGGCGCAGGGCTGCAGAGGGGACACGGCTCCAAGGAAGGAAGGAAAGGTGGCATTTCGGCAATGAGAAGAGCTTCCTGCTGCTGCCCCTCGGAGCAGATGCAAGGTGTGTTTCCCTGAGCCAGAGTTCCAGGAGGTGGATGTGCAGCAGCAAGCAAGGGGCACAGGGTTTGGCACAGCGGGATGAGCTCATTCACTGGGGATGGCTGGAGAGGATCCCAGATGTCAAAGCAAAGTGCTCTGGTCTGCAGGCAGCTGAGTGGAGTTGGTCCTGTGGCTGAGGAGGGATCCCATCTGCAGGGCACAGTGCAGCCGTGCCGGCCTGGTCCCGCTCCCTGCGCAGCAGTTTGTCTGCCTCTGCATTTACTCGCAGGACTTGGACAAGGTGGCTGGAGGTGACTCACGAGCATCGGTCCTGCCAGATGCCCGCATGGCTCCTCACCCACCGCAGCCCCACTCCATGTGCTGCAGCTCATGTCCCCTGTGCCGGGCTGGTCTCCTCTCGACACCAGCATCTCAGTCCCCAGTCACCTCCACAGCCAGGTCTGGGTTTGTCACCTCCAGTCCTCCCCACGGCCTCCCTGCACTGTGGCTGTGAAGCATGGGCAGCCTTGCCTGGCCTGCAACGAAACCATCATCACGCCTCCATCCCCTGGGTGTTGTGGAAGGGCAGAGCAGAGCAGGGCTCTGGTGGCAGGGCACCATCGGGACCTGCACTCCTCCGAGGGGCAGGTTCTACCCTGGTGTGTGGCTGCAGACCTGGCCCCAATCCCTGCCTGCAGCCTCTTCCTGCCCCACTGCCTTCATGGCTGGAGCTGCTGCGATGGGAACCCCATTTCCTTCCAGTTCAGTGTGAGACCTCCAGAAACATGGCCCTAGCAGACAGTGGGGCTCAGCCTGCCCCAGCTCCTCTGCAGCGTGCCCGTGCACTCAGAGGTGTCTATTTTTGTAGTTCAATATTTATATACTATATTAAAATGCTTTTACGAGATTCTCAGCAGCAGTCCCTAGGCCATTGGCACAAACCAGCCCCATAGCGTACAAGATGCACGAGCAGGACAGGAATTAGCAGCTTTTGTAGCTATTTATTTGCCTGTGATGTGAATAGTCAAGCTTTGGAAGGCAAGACCCCCCCCGTTCCCCTGTGAGGGTTGGGACCCTCACTCCTCAGTCTGAGCTTGGGAAGAAGCCCAGCAAAGCCACGCTGGGGCAGCTCCCCACTAGCAGGGATCCAGGGAGCAGTCGCCCTGTGTGGAGCCCTGCAGAGGTTCAGCTTTAGTAGGGGATTTCTGCAGCCCCTGGTGCATCCCGGAGCACAGAGACCACCAGAGCCCCATCAGCTCCTGCCTGCCCTCCCCTGCTGCCACCCTGGGAAGGGCTGCAGGGTGCTCTCATGCCCTGGCTCCACAGCACTGCATGCCCCAGCTGCCCTCCCGAGGCAGGGCACAGTGGGGTGCGTTGGCACGAGTGTGGTACAGTTGCACAAGGGAGACAAGCCCCGGCCTGGCTCCCATTGCAGAGCGGTTCAAGGCAGGCTCGGGGTGTGCTTGGGCCCAGCCATCACCCACCCATGGGACGCAGAGCAGGGTGGCAAGGGGCAGCCTGTGCTGCACTGCACCGGTGCAGCATCGCAGCCACGCGGTCCCCGTGGTGTGATGCAGGGGAGGTGCTGTTTTGGCCTCTGGAAATCTCCGTTTCTCTCAGGTTCAGAGAGGTTCTGCTGAGGATTTGTCTCTATTCCCTTTGAACATGAAAGAGGGTCACACGTGTCCCTGTGCTGCTCGGCTGTCCCGCTAGCTGTGGTGTGCACAGCTGCCTTCCCCTCTCCTCCCTAGACAATCCCAATAGAGAATGATGCATTTTTATTGGTAAGATCACGGTGTCCCTGACTGACCTGAGCATTGAAAAGGGGAGGGAAGTCATTGATCCTTCTTCTGTGTAAATACCTGCCTAGCAGTCAGCAGTTTTAGTGCCTAGTATGCAAAGGAAGCAACCCTGTCTGAGCTGCAGGATCGCTTCCTCCTCACCACTGTTTAGCAGCTTGCTCAAGGAGTGATCTCTTTTCCAACCCTCCCATTGCTCCCCTCCTCCTGGTGCTCCCCGGTGCTGGCGGGCGGCTGGGCAGGCCCCGAGCCCCATGGCCCTTGGATGTGCAGGAAGAGCTGCCTATGGTGAGGGGGAGGTCCCAAAGGGATGGAGAGGGAGCACCCCAGTTCCCCCTCCATGCCAATGTAATGTGCTTGGAAATGAGCTGTCGGGGTGATCCCTGAGCTGCTCCCTGGAGCGGGAAGGATCAGCTCCTGCGTGCTGTACCTGCTTCAGTCACTGCTGCTTTTCTGGGGGGGAGCTTTAGAGATGCTATATATACACATATATATATATAAATATTATATACACACACTTGTTTTGAAGGAAAAACACTGTATGATTGTAATAGAAACGATGTTGAGATAATTTATTTTAATCTTTGTATTTATATAAAATGATCAAAGAGATCAAAATGATCAAGGATGGAAGAAGAAGAAGACAGTGTTCCCGTTTGTCACTGAGGGAGCTGCTGTCAGCCACAGCCCTGAGCAGCCGGAGCCCAGGCAGTGCCTGGGCCAGGGGCTCCTGCAGACCCCGCAGCTCCTCAGGCTGTTTTAGCCCTTAGCCTGGGGTGTAGCGAGCTCTGTAGGTGCAGTCAGTGGGTTCAGACCCCCTGGAGGTCCGCAGGGTGCACAGACCGAGGAGCGCAACTGCTGACCCCACGTGCTTGTTGTGGCACAAGCAATGCTTAAATGCTGTGTAGAGTTGGACTGGGAATGGATCATAGCAATAATGCTCGGTTGTTAACCAATGTCTTACGTGTACAGCCCGCGGGTGCTGGGAGCTTTCTGCGCACAGACCAAGAGCCGGCACCGCTCTGCCCCCCCTTGGCTCTGCAGCGCTCATGGGTTTGCTGCGTTGGCTTTGCTAAGCTCCCTTTTCCTCGTCAGTGTTTTTCCTAATGCCCTCTGAGGAAGCGATGCCTCGAACTGTGCGGGGTGAGCGGTGGTGGGGAGGAGCTGCACCCCCTCTGTTCACTGCACTGTGCCAGAGCCAGAGCCAGCGATGCCGGGAGGCAGAGCCGGTGGCTTGGTGCATGTTCCCCACACTGCAGCCGGGAGGTTCCCCTCTTGACCCTGTTAATTAAAAGCCATATTTTCTGAATGTGTTTCCTGGGGCCAGTCTGAGTGCTCCCCGCAGCATCCTCCCCATCCCACCGTGAGGGTGCCTGAGCAGCGCAGCCGCTCCCCACAGCCCCTCGGGGGCCTGCAGGACCTTCCCCATGCTGCACAAGAGCTGTCCACAGCAGGGCCGGGTCCTGCAGCCTCGGGGAAGCTTCACCAGAGGCACAGCCCTGTAACCCCTCACCGCAGCGGAGCTGGGCGCAGCGTGACGGGTGTCACCGGGATGGATGCTGTGGGGGCTCAGGATGGTCCCTCCTGTGTGCCCGGGTGAGTTGGCAGCAGCATGGCAAGAGACGCCTGCCTGGCATGGCTGGAGCATCAGGGGTTGCTCTGCTCTGCTCTGCACAGAGCATCTCCATGCATGAGTTCCTCACAGTGACTCCCTGGAGGCAGCGGAGCGGCTGCCCCACAGCACTGGCCGGGTCCCTCTCCCCACGGGAGCTAAATCAGCAGCACGCTGAGGGACTGTCGTTTTCAGGGCCTGTTTTGGGATCCTTGTGTGCAGCCTCACAGACCGGCTCTGTCTGCCTGGTGAAGCCATGGCATCGTCCTGCCCTTCTGGGGAAAACCAGCCCCGGCTTCCCAGCAGCCGTGAGGAGCCTGCAGTGACGCCGCGGCCGCCCCAGTGCACGTCTGTTCTTGTCACCCTCTTGCACCGTGGGTGCCTGCCTGCCAGGTCCTATGGGGAATGCGATAGGAGGGGAGAGAAAACTCCGGTACGCCCAGAGGTTGCCTCATGCTGTGGTTAAGATCAGTGATGCTGCTGTGCTGGGCCAGGTGAGCAGGAGGAACCCGGGGTCGATGAGCACAGGACCCCATGAGCTGACGTGGGCTGTGGGAGCACACAGATAACAGCACCGTGTCACTGCGCTGCTCTGAGCTGCCCAGGGCTGGTTCCTGCCTCCATCTCCTGCCGGGCAGCACTGCCCGAGGGTTGGCCCTGCAGTGATGCTGCTTCGCTGCATCCCAGCTCCCTGCTACAGCCGTGGGAAAGGGGAGCACACAGTGCAGGACACTCGGCACTGTCACTGCATCAGACCTCCCTCCCTCCCTCCCACCTTCAGGCTGGAGCAGGGGTACACCAACACCCCCCCATAGCAGCGGTGGTGCTTCTGCCTCCTCCCGATAGATTTCACTGTGCTTGCCGCTTCCAAAGGAGCTTTCCCATCACTGCAGCTACAGCAGGAATGTGACGCTGGGCCGAGGGAACCCCCCAGTCCGTATGCCTGTAAAGCAGACCTGTTCCCTGCAGGGGATGGGGGTAAGGCACCGAGCCCCAGCTCCCCCATGTCTGTGTTCGCTCGGGTGTTTCAGGGGCGCTGCTCTCTGGTCCTTGCTGAGGCCTCTCCAGGGGGACACTGCCTATGGCAGGGCAGAGGGACCCTGGGGAGGGCTCTGGCAGGGGCCAGAGGGGGCACCCCTGGGTGCAGCTCCCTGTGTCCCCCGGCAGCCGCAGCCTCTCCTTGTCTGCGGTTGTGAGCTCGGCTGAGCACAGTGAAAGCCTCGTGCTGGGGAGAGCTGATGCCAGAGGTCTGACACTGCTCTGCTTGATCTGAATGTTTGTTCCCCATCGTCACACCACTGCTCGCCAGGACAATGCTGACGTCGACTTTGCTTTTTAACCAAGTGCTTTTCAAAACGCGTTTAATAGCCAGAAACTAGAGTATGGAGCTGTACTTTAGGAGCTGTTGTAATATGCCTTTTTCTTAATAAAGAGATTGAGGTCTGCAGAGGGTTGTCCTGTCCTGCCCCAGCGCCATGGACCATTAACATCTCTGCGCTCACTCCTGCCAA